TCAGCAGGACTGGGAAATCTCCACCAAAGTGGACAAAGAGCCAGTGAATGTTATGATGTTTTACAATACGCTTCTGATCTTTAAATGTCATTTCATCAAAAATACTGCTTATATTTTCGTGAGGAAAGAAACTGATACTGGAGTAAAAAAAAACCCAACAAAACAAACAGATGACAGCAGGGAGTCACAAATGGCTTTTAAAATGATAACTGCAACACCTACACTGATCACTATATTTTTCCTCTTCCAATGTTTCCTGTCCTTACTGGGCGGGATTCTCTTCTAGCAATTGCTCCTCTAGCAATTTCCTTCTTCCCTTTCAGTCTGAAATTCAGCAAAGAAGGTCCTGCAAACGCCTACTCTCAGAAGCAGAGCCACTAACAGAGATAAAGATAAAGCCAGGGAGACAGAGTGCGAAACAGAGCCCACACAGAGTCAGGGTGGAACTGCATCAGCTGAGGAGCTGTGTATAGAACTTAGTTATGGGCACTCGTTTTTGTACTTGACATATGACATCTTTCTTTTCTCCTCACTTTTCAGCCCACCCACCTTCAGAGACAGCCAGGTGTGCTGAAGACCTTGGTCAGGTAAAAGCTGGGAATTACAAATATATTCTCCTCTGGAGCCAGAAAGTTACTTTGTTTTAGCTGTTTCTTTAAAGTTGATTGAGCCATGCTAAGCTTGTGAAGCTACAAAAACACTGCTTTATTTTTATCTTAAGTATTCTGGAGATACTGTTTCTCGAGACCTCTGTGTGTGAGGGTGGGTGGGTGTGATTCTTCAGGCCTGATTTCTGTGCCAGTGTGAAATGTCCCCCAGTACAGCCTGAGACCCTCGGAGCCTACCTGTCATTTTTGTGAGGAATTTATGCAACCCCGAATGTGCCAGGCTGACAACTGAAGTACTTGCATCTATCTGAGAAGCAGCACAGGGGCAGTGTGAGAGCGGGGTTCAGGTGCCCTTCCTCATCAACTTGGCCAGCAAGTATGCACTGCAAAAAGTCTTCTTTAGTCTTCACACTAACCCTGAAGGTCTGGACTTCTTTAACTTCATGCCTCTGACTTAAATAAGAGTCAGTGAATTGGGAATACTCCAGTCAAGGAGCCTTCAAGCACCAGTGTCCCTGCTGGCGGTTTCTTTGCTGTGGCTGCTGTCATCTCCCTGTTGCTACCAGCAAGCAGCAGGACTTGTGCCATGGATGCTCTGCCCTTGCAATTCACTAAAGCTGAGCATCTCTAGGAAGTGATCACTTCATGTTTAAAGACTGGGTGTCCAGCCACATGTTGCCTCACCTCTTCCCATCAGAATGTGCAATAATAACAGGAACATTATGGTCCCAGACATGACATTTGCATTAAGGAGATTTCAGCTTTAACTGCAGCAAAAATCCTATTTACTCTACTTGGGAGCTTGCTCGGTCTTCTTTTTTGAATGAATGCACGTGTGCTATGAAGTGGGCTTTTGCAACTAGCATGACCTGCTTTTGCAGAGAATTTACACTCTTTTCATTATGGTTTCCTATGTCTCCTTCTCTCTAGGCTCCATTCAATTTGTTAATTCTTCTTCTCAGAAATCTAGGGCAAGGACACCAAGTGACGCTGTACAAAGCAGACACTGTTTATATTTATTTTCTTAAGAGTGGAGTGTTTTTATGCTTTCTTTTTTAAAAATTTATGTAACTTTTAATTGTTTGTTCCTTTCCTGCTGTGCTTCACCAAAAGTTGAGATGCCTTGGAAATGCCACATGACTTTTTCCTGTAATTATGAAGTTGTTTGTCTACCAAGACACACATGTTTTGGGGTAGATCTGTGCTTAGGAACCAAACTAGAAAAATTCAGTTTAGAAAATACAATATAGTTCTGGGTTCAGCATAATATTTTTTAATGCATCCGTGTAATTTAAGAGCAGTTATTAAATTCAGAAAGAATCTCATGTGACTCAGGGGATAACTCCTCTGAAATGTAAGAAATCTTCAGGTGGCTACGTGACTGCTGTGCTTGGCAACTTGTTCTTCAGGAGTCTCTGCAAGGCACCCAGCATTGGCGATGCTGCCTTTTGGCTTATGCTGGTTCAAACATTGATGCCAAATCAGCTGCCTGAGACCCCCCAGCCACCCTCACCAGTGCCAGGGCAGTGTTTACTGGTCATGCTCCAGTGCCAAGTGGTGCATGACACGTTGGGTCATACTGGTGGCAAGTCCTGGGATGACAACATGAGCTGCTCAGAGAATTGGCCTCTGTCCCTCCTTGCCTGAGCCTGGCATTGGTCACGTTGCAGGTTCCCCCTCCTCCAGCTTGATCTGCTACCTCCCTGTGAGACAGTGGATGTGCCACCTCTTTCCCCAGGTTCTGTCCCTTACTTTCTCCAGCTGCAAGTTAGAAGCAGACAGTAGTAGCCCAGCTACCAGAAGGGGGCTGGCCCCAAGCAAATGGCTTTCCTGGCAGCCCTGGGCTCCCCCATGTCACTCTGCTGTCCAGTCTTTTCTCCCGCTTGCACTGGCAGGGGGGTTTCTCTCTTTCTCTTTGTCTGCCATGTGTAAGAACATGAACAGATGAAAAAACCCTGCTGAGCGTTAACACTGTCATTAACTTGCTAGGAATTTGATTTTGAAGTGTTTAATGAATCATTTCTGCTAATTTTCAGAGAATTAATCTTCTACTACTACTTTTTTTGTGCTTCTGTACAATGCAGTTATTTGAACAACAAGAGGAGGTAAATTATGGACCTACCAAAGGAAACTTATGGTATTTTAAGGTACCATTCAGGAATACTTTTTCTGTAGTAATTTTTAAAAATTTCTCTGGAACTATGGATTTACTAACTTCAAAAGGGAAAAACTTGTTTCTTTTGTTTTCTGTTTTGAAAGTAACAACAATTAGATAAACAGCTTATAATTTTTTCTTTATATTCAAACCACTTCAATGTGAGTAAAAAAGCTGTCATTTTTTTCCCCCCTATTCATTCATGAGATGACAAGATTTGTACTAGACTCAGTCCTGCTTCCCTTGAAGCTGAAGGCACTGTATCTACTAATTTAACAAACTCCAGCATACCTAAATGGTATTTTGTCCCTTTAAATCATGTAGTGTTTTGAGGACCTACCAAAAGTTTTTGGCTGATTTAAAGAGTTTCAGGGGAAGATTTCAGGGAAATAATCCTGAGTCACAATAGTTTCTTTTTTTTTATTGAATAAAGGCTCCACCTCATCTAGATTGCCATGAAGATTTTTAGGAAAACTAATCAAGCCATGCCCTTAATGTCTTTACTAACTTACAACGGGATGCTTATGTGTGGAAGAGCTGCATAAAGGCTTTTCAGAATGCCCGACCCTCTGTTTGGAACAGGACTTTTTTTTCCCCCATAAATTGTTCATCTTTGTGAATTTACTGACTGATTTTAAAGAATTGTTTCTGCAGCTCTAGATGTTGCTACAGACCTGCACGCTTATTTGCATTTATGATGCACTTCATTATTATTAATGACGCACGAACAGCCGATGTTTTATAAAAAAACCAGCCAACATACAACAAAACTAACCCAAACTGGCTGGCTTCAGGTTAAATGTCAGTGGTGTCAGGACTTACGTTTCAGTATGTTCCTCTGCTCCAACTCCTCAGCAGTCGGCCTCTGGCTCAGTCGTCTGCGAAAAAAGTCCAAGATCAGTTTTTGGACCATATCACATTCTCCTCAGTTCTCTGTCTTGAAGAATTATTTTGGGGTGTGAAAGGCCAAGTAGGAAGCACTGACACTGCTCCATTATGTACTTGGTACGCCCGGACTATGCGTGACACAGACCACGCGTCGCTTTCGCAGTTCCCTCTGTTTTCAACTCGTGGAAGACAAAATACGTGATGTCATCTCAGGCATGACTCTCCCACCCCTACCCCAGGCAGAGCTGCTGAAAGCTAAGCTACACAGATGTCTCTGCTTAGTTTCCTTTCTCCCATGCCTGCTTCCTGACTCGCACAAGCATTTCTAGCTAAGCCCCAGCTAACCCTCTCGCTGCCCTCTCGCCAGCCTCCTGGTTGTGCCCTGTTTGTTCACACAGCGTTTGAACACACAGACAGTCCACAGAGAAAACAAGGGGTGGTTTGGCAGCGCCCAGGGCGGAACAATAGCAGCGCCCTCACTTCCCTCCTCCTCCTCCTCTCGTGGCTTTTATTAAATCTTACACTGAAAGGTCAGCGTGACGTGCCAGTCAACCTGTCCATAACGGGGTCACAACAATGGCAATCTAATTACAAATGGGGACCCTGAGCATAGAAATGTTCTGAATAATCAGAGTACAAAGCACGGGAGAGAAACACAAAGGCGTCTTTGGAAAACAAAATAAACCAGAGAGGTGACATCAGAAGTCAACACTGTTGGGCCTTCTCATACTCTCCTCCGAGTCAATGGGAGTTTTGTCAGTGATGCCAGTGACAGAGCCTCCTCTTCCTTCAGATATAATCATTCATAGACATTCCCAACTTGGGGGCCCCAGCTTCTGCCAGTTGGCTCATCGGTTCCCCTGAGAGGTACTGGGTGCTGACAGGAAGCATGATATGAATGCTGGCTGCATGGCTTCATCTCGTGCAATGAATGTGCCCCCCTGACCTGGGGCACAGCAGCTCACTGAAACGGGGCTGTCTCTGCCAGACTGGACAAGGGATGTCTGACAACACAGGGGCTGAGCTGCTGCTCAGTGATGCACACACATCCTCAGCCTTCTCTAGAGCCAGGAGCTCACCTGTGTGCCAGTTTAATACCCCATCCCCCTGACACCCTACGTGGTGCACAGGGCTGAAGCACATGGGGTGGGTCAGAGCCCACTCCCTACACCAGCTGCATGAAGCCAGAAATGTTACAAGCACCTGACTTCATATAGCCTGAAGTTTTCCACCAGCAGGGACAATATCAGCCATTTTACACCATGAAAACAAAAGAGCAGAACATGGCCCTATTCCAGTTGAGAATCTGGAGTAATTAGCTTTGTCTCTTTCTCAAGGCAGACTGAACGTTTATCTCACTGGAAAAGTGTTGAAAGGGACAGAAACTCAACCTTAATTCAGACATAAAGAATATCTGCAAAATACTTTGAAGACAGAAAGTGCTATTAAAGTGCTTGCGATTACCATCTTTGAGATACAGTAGCTGCTGCTAATGGGAGACTTCACCTTAGGACTATGAAGCAATTAAAACCACTTTATTTCTAGCAGCTCATGAGAATCAAAGAGAAAAAGTTGCCGCTCTTAGCAGGGTATGTGGCTGCAGGAATTGAGTTATCCAATATTTTTAATCTTAATCTTACAAAAGCAACGTGATGCTTTTCAAGAAGATGCAGCAGAGGGATATCAAAGACAGATTCCAGCCATTCAGTGTGTGGCTGCGTGTATAGAAAACATCACGCAACAAGTAACAGGGGAAATTAGGCCGAAGAGAATGACCCCAAAAAGGTGACCCCCTTTCCAGGGGACTGAAGGACTCAGCTAAGATTTCTGTCAAGAACAGTCCACACTAAAGTATTTCTAACAAAAGGCAGAAGTTTTAATTATCATCTATCTACACAGGTAATTTACAAAAAGGACCAAGTCTTCCACGTGTTTACTAGGGTACTTGTCATGAAGTAGATGCATTTGAACAAAGTTTTAACTTCACTGTGTTGTTCCTTCCACACAAGAGAACAGAGATTTACTCCAAGTATGACCTTGGTATTACATGCATCCCCTGCTCCCGTGTTGCTCAAAGACCTATAGACTGTGGGATTGTTCCACATGCCCAGTAGAGTCCCTAGTGTAAGTCAGCCAAAATACCTGTGTTCCCCATCAAGAGTCAAATTATTTTATAGATCCCATTATCAACCCTTTTCAGGCTGCAGTGTGCTCCTGCTTGAATATTACCACCATTTTCAAGTGATGGACTTTCTGCCTTGTAAGGCAGAAAAAGCCATGACACTTTTGATAGACACATTCTAGAGATCTGAAGCTATCTGCATTCGTGGGTTGTCCATCGTTGCTGGACACATACAAACCAAAATATTTTTAATAGCAAGTAGGCAGGAGGAAAAAACAAGGTACTCTTGTAGTGGGACAAGATCATGACTACTCCTTATACTGCCAGCAGTGAAGCACAGCTGGAGGATAAAGAAGGTAATGAAGAGAAGCTGTGGAGGTGCCTGGCCTCCAGTACCAGTGTTTGCTTTCATGTCCATGAAGTGCTGTGACATCCCCTTTTCCATCATCCTTTTGGACTGACTGAGTCTGCTCCAGCTCCCTTGTTGCGAGTCCCTCCTTGATGAGCTCCTCAAACAAATCCAGCCTCTTCTCCAGCCCCTCCCTTCCAAACTCTCCCAATTATTTATTTTCCTCATCTCTTGCTCTTTTTATTTCTTCTCTTGCTGCCACAGACATTTCTGCCCCCAAACTATCTTTGAGCTTTACAAGCAACTCCACAAGCGTCTCAGAACACCTTATTTTTAGTTCTTTTTTTCTTGCCTCTTAACTTATAGGTTTGTCAGATGTGGAGCCAGATGCTAATGTTACAATTTGAAAAAATCTTGATAATTGTTACTGATCCTGTAACTCAAAAAACATAAGCAGTTATTGCTTTGTAGCCATGGCTGCAAAGATACAGGTGTTTTTCACACCAAATTCCAGTAGCCATCTCCAGTGCACTGCTCTGATCTTGTCAAACACCAGGTGTGATACTTGCTCTCTTTTACCTTCCCTCCTGTGCTGCCCAGAATAATAACAAATAAAAATTAATGAAGCACACCTTGCTTGCAGAGGTTGACTTTGTTGGTTTGATTGCTAGATTGCTGCTGTGCCTTATTTCTCTTAATATCACAGAGGCTGCATGAGGCTGTCAAGAGGCCAGAGGTCAGTAAACCAGTGTCTCATTAGCAGCACAAATGGAATAAACAGGAAAAAAATGGAGGTGGGGAAGAAGCCTGGTGCAACAGCAAAGAACAGATCTACTTGTGAAAACTGTAAGAACTGAGAGGGACATGTGGTGCTGCTGTCGATCAGAAAGGTAACTCTGGCTGTTTCATGGAGCTGTACAAGCACAAGTATCTAACCAAGGATCAGGCAAGATGGGCCTTAAAACCTAACAACCTTTAACAGCACTTTCTGGGCCTAAAATCTCTTGTGTGAACATGCTTGACCTTTGTGGTGCCTTTCATGCTGTTTTGCAATAAGCTTCAGACATTCAAAGGAATAGGAAAGTTCGTTTTCTGTCAATTGCTTCTCAATGTATCTCCTGGCTTATACTTCATATGTTTTTGCAATATGGTTAATAGCAGTTTTGCAAATACACTGACAAAAGTTTTACTACAAAGAAAACCTTCCTAAGATTTATGGTGACATAAAGAAAGTCTTGCTAGGATTTCACTGAAAAAATAATATACCTATGAAATTGTCAGTGAGAAATAAAAAAGTTTGCCCACATTTACAAATACAAACTTGACAGCAAACCAATTTCCTGAATTAATTCCCTGCATGATCAAAATGCTTGACACTCCTCATGCTAGAACTATGCAACAAGAGCTAAGCAGCTCTTTGTAAAGACTGTGTGGTGGGGGTTTTTTTGTGTTTGTTTTTCTGTTTTTTTCAGTTTTGCTGTGGGCTGGGCACACCATGGGGGATGAATAGGAGTGTTGGGGCAGGAGGGAGAACTGCAAAATCAATTGCTGACTCAAAGTATTGGCTGGTGGGGGTGTAACCTCTTCAGGGAGCCCGAGGAATGAAAGGCAGCATTTTCACTGATGGATACTACTGTTTGGAGCCTGCCCAGCAAAGTAAGGACTCAGAATGGGAAGTTTTTGCTCACTGTGGCAGTGTCCAGGAGGAGCAATAAAATGAAAAAAGCTGGCTGTACATCTTCCTGGGCAATATAAAACACTTAAATAAAGTGCCCACACAATGATGCTTAACCTACTCTGCAGTGTGGTCATATGCAGAGGGCTCTCAGGACAGCAGCCAACTAGTTGTGGGGTGGAGGATCAGATTCTTGCAGCCCTTGTGTCTGGTGGCACCTTTGAAGCAAGGTGCTCCTGGCTGCCTTATCTGTCCCCCTGTTAGGGGTCATGGGTTTTCTCCCCTTAGTTTCTTGTTTTCTTGTGGATGAGCTCTGAGAAAAGAGCTAGTTAATGCCATCCAGCTCATTGTTGTGTGAACTGGGACAGTGCTGGGTGTGTGTTTCCTGAGTATCAGGAATTAATCTTTGCCACTGCCTAAAGGGTATGAAAATCTAAGAGGTTAGTATAAGGTCATCTGTAAGCATAATGGCTGGATATAGCACAAAGCTTGCTGGAAAATTAAGCCCCATATACTAGTCAGGCTTGTTCACTCTGGGAGTTAGCAGATACCAGAGGCAGAACTCAGCAGCTCTCCAGTGCTTGAATGGTGGCATCTGTTGTGTGTAACCCAAGAGCAGGATTGATGGGCCAACAGGTCACAGGTGGTCACAACAGGGCATGCAGGAATATGGTGGGGTGTCCAAAACATCTTAGAGCCCAGTCACACTCATGCAGCTCTTCCTGATGACACAGGTCACCCTGATGTAAAACAACTTCTGAGCATAGCGGGGCATAACCTCTGGAGCAGCTCCTGAACTTATTCTGCAGAGGCAAGTCTCCTTACTCAGTTGCCAGTAGGTTCC